CAATTATGAATATTCGAAATAAATTAAATGATTACAAGTCGAAATAATTTAAAAATAATCGCGAATTTTAGATTTAAAAATATAACAATTTGGTTGGCATTACAGTCAAACCTCGTCACAGCGGACCTCGCCACAACGGATTTCTTGTTACAACGGATTTAAATATTGGCCCTTTTTTTATTAATATTAATTAAAAATGTTTGTCATAACGGATTTTATTAATAAATTTGTTCCACAATGTTAACGGGTTTTTGATGGTGTTAGCTTGAGGTGGTTCATTGAATCAACCATCACCATCTTCATCACTTACAGAAACAGGTTTCTTGTCTCCTCTTAAAGATCCATCAAAATCAATATATTTTGATGGGTATAAGCCTAATTTTTTTTCAATAAGAGAACTAGGGTATTTTGAACATAAACGGTCTAATTGAAGGAAAATATTCTGAAGTGATGATCTTAATAATGGATCATCTTCCCATGCTTTTTTTAATCCGATAATAATAATAATAAGTTAAAAATATTAATTTCAAATAAATAAATTGTTTGCATGTTAAATTATCTTACCTCCCCTTATAATTTTAGCATAACCTTGTTGGAGATTTTTAGTTTCATCATCCACTTGATCACTAAATTGTATGTTTTCTCTACTACCATCTAATACATAACTCCTAATTTTTGACATATCCCATTTTTCATAGGGAACTCTTTGAAAAGCAAGTTCCCAAAGCAACATACCAAAACTATATACAAACAACATAAATCATTAAAATTTAAATTACTAAATTATAAATATTGATTTTTTTAAAAAAATTACCTGAAAATTTCACATTTAAAGTTATAAGATTGTCTTGGACCAAATCTCAATTTTTCTGGAGCCATCCAATGAACAACTTCTGTTGCATTTTTCATATCAGTAGTTACACCAGTAGTATGACGAGCATAATCAAATTTAGCAATTTTTACTTTACGATTTTTGTCTATCTTTTGTTATTTTTATTAAATAATATATTAATAATAATTAATCAAATATTTACTAAACATTTACCAATAACAAATTTTAATTACCATAATATTATCACAACGAATATCATGGTGAAGAATTGAACATGTATGAGGTGTCTTTTATTTTAGCTTATAAATATTTTAATTTGAATCAAAACGTAGAGCATATCTTGCTGGGTAATTACAAGATTTTCATTGATAATATTTTGCTTTGTGTGCAATTGCTTTTCTTCACCAATATAATAATAATGTCTTTCACTAATAATTTCCAAAAATAATTTCTATTACCTCTGATCATGCTTTTCCCAGTAGATATTCATCTGAGTCAGGAACGTCCAAATTCTTAATATGCTTAGCCTCGGACTTTAATATTTTCAGCCTGACCATATCTAGGTTCTGCCGATCTTAGGCATCTTCCTAATGTATATTCCTAAAATAAAAGGAAAAGAAATAGAAATATATACAATTATATTTAGCAAAAGATCCACCTAGTAAGATGAATTTATTGTTGGAGGTAGATTTATTATCATTATGAAAATAGAAAATTCGAAGACACAATAAGGTCAAGGATAAGGATAGTTTGTTATTTATTGTTAAAGGGGTTTTTTTTATTATTATTATTATGACGAGGTTAATGATATATGAAGTTAAGAAAGTTACAACATTATTTATATATGTTAAAGGTTCAATAATCTAGCTCTCTGATTTCCAAGAATTCTCAATTTGTTCTAATCAAATGTATTCCTTAAAATAAACAAGACCTTTTTTTTAAGAATAATTCCAGGTTCTTTTTAAAGTGAGCAAATTATTTTCAAAGAACTACAATTTAGAATGTTAGAATAATCTTGATAATTTCCTTGAGTTAATTAATTATTATTGATTAACACTATCAAATTGGACTTTGATCAGTATTTGACTTCTTTTCGTGCAACTTTCATAAATCACTTCCCGATTTATTTATTCCATAAATCCATATTATTAGTATTAGTATATATAATATCAATAAACTTGATAAAATTGGCCATTTATTTATATTATCAAGTGCTTTAAACAATTGATTGCTGCGTCCGACTTATCAAGTTTATACAGTGCGGATCATCTTTACTCAAAAGTTAAAATTTTTGAAATATTATGTGATCCACACATCGGATTTTAAAAAACTTACCACCATTCAATTCA